GTGCGTGCGTGCGTGCGTGAGAGAGAGAGACAGGGTCACATCACAGTGGAGTCAGCTGTCTTAACCGTGGCTTGTGTACTGCACACATACCAGCTTCATCACTGTGTCTGTCACGCGACTCTGTTCCCCTTTCGGGCTCTGTCTTTACATTTATTTTGAAAGATGAAGCTCGCGATTATGGTAAGGGGCGTTACATTTCCGACGAGTGCTTGCAGTGTTCGGCCAATCACAATGCACTGGGTCAGCTGGCCAATCAGAGCAGACTGCGCTTGTCGGAAGGTGGGACTTTGTAGAAAACTAAGCGTTTGAGAGAGGCGGGGCATAGAGGACCTACAATAATGTACAGTATTTGAAAAATAATGTGTTTTTTGAACATTAAAGCATGTCAACATATTCTGTTACACCAAATAATGATCTTTAAAAAAAGCATCATACGATCCCTTTAAAGTAAAACTCACCCATTCTAAAACCAGACAGGACTTACTGATCATTTAATCAAAGCATGTGATTAATCACACAGGTGTAAAGCATTTCTCGAATCATTAAAGAGTTTATTGAAAAATATAAATTCTGTCATCAGCTCAACTTTATGCCACTTAAAATCATCCACTGAAGACAAAAAAAATATCCTAAAGGTTGTGAGCAACTTAAGTGTGTGTACATGATGACAGCTGAAATTTAATGGTGAATGATTCCTTTAAAGGATGATATATTCATGTGCAATTTCTCATGCAGTTCAAATATATATATTGTATAAAAATGTGTGTAGAAATCACTGTATATACTAAAATGAGTTGCAGTGGGTGAAAGTGTGCATGCATAATCTCAGACGAGGTGATTGGTTGTTGGGATATAGGGGTGGGGCAACACTGACTTGTGGCCTATAAGGGTAAAAGCGGAAGGTGCTTTTGCGGTGCGGGGGTAAGGCTCGCCGGTCCTTGACGGATTTCTGTTTTAACTTCAGTCAAACATAAAGCACATGTAAACATCATCACCCAAATCAGGATGGGAGTCATTTACATCACTAAAAACCAAAAGTGTGTTCATTTCAACCAGACCAGCATTTGACAGTGTTTGTAAATATAATCACCACTAAGCAGTTTCATGTTGACACAATACCTTATGAATTATTTGAATTATAGTTTATATAATCAACCTTTGAATGTATTTAAATTATTAAATACATTTTAAAACATGTACATTTCATACTGATATTGCCAGCAGACCTTGTTGTAGAAGTTAGAAGCTGGTAGTAGAACTTGTAGTACTGATATTATCAGCTAGCATCTTAAGTACTTGGTGAAATAAATCTTCATAAGAAAATAAGAGTTTAACCATTAAGTGAAGAAAAAACACAACTTAAAACAATGTGCTTGATTATTCGTTTCATTAAGCTTGCCATTTGTATTGAATTTGGGTAGTTTTATTACGCATGTCGTCATTGTCTCCTGTGCAATAGTATGATGCCCCTTTTTTCTCTCTTAGTTTGTATGTATATGCATGTGTACCTTGTCATTGGACTCATGTAAATATACGCTGTCTCTCGGCCTCATAGGAATGAAATCAGGCAGTCTCCGGTCAAGACTACGTGTTTTGTGAGCATCTCCTGGTAGCAGAGGTGAGTGGTTAGACTAAAATAGGTGGAACAAAAAGAGGCAAGATTATTTGGACTGGTAATGAGGTATGTCAGAGAAACAAATTGAAATACACTCAAAACGTGTACATGCACACACGGACACACACTTTCAATTAAGCACTGCACAGGGCATTGAAACCAGGATTAGTATGTTTTATACAACAGTTCGTTCTGGTTCTCAAATCTGATTGGTTGAGAACCGTGAGATATTGTACTGGTATCGCTACAGGACCACCCTTTCACAATTTTATATCACTCCGCTTGTTCTAGCCGGGTCTATGTTTTTTTTTTTTTTAATTATTCACTGAGCTAATCGTAGAGTACGTTAGTTAATATAAGAAGAAACGTCTAGATTCACAGTCTCTCTCTCTCTCTCATTTGGATGCACGTCTTGCCGCATTGTTTCTCTCTTATAACCTCATAATTTCTCACTAATAACCTAACTGAAGCAGCACATGCCCTTGATACGAATTCTAAAAGTGACGTATGTTTAACTGCCAACTGGAGCTTGGAATCCGTTGCGGAAGGAAGTAGTTCCGCACAAAAGAGGGTTTTATTAGGCACTCCGTTGTTTCTTGTTTAATTACACACATGTTCTGTCGAACTGCGGCCTCGTGCCTCTGGCCTAATCACAGCCATGCTGATATAGAGCCGGTATCGCTCTCGTATTCAAGTGATATTGCTCAGTTAATAAACCAAATTGAAAGGGATTTCCGGGACTTCCTGACTAGATTTTTTTTTAATGCTGTTAAGCACTGGAATCTGTTGTTAGCCTCACCTGTGATTTGAGACCAATTTTAGGAAGCTCCCACTCAGATCTGGAGCCATCTGTGCTGTAGTAATACAGCCGGCCATGCTCGTCTGTGTGTCTCAACCACTACATACATATACAAAACACACACAGGCACTAGTTGGTTAGTTGCCTGAACTACTAGTCGACTAATTACTCTCAAGAAAGCCCTTTAAGGCAGGTTTCGGGTTCACCTAACCTTATATGGATGAGTTTTTATACAAGAGCGTATATAAAGCCACCCTTCCACTATGTTTAACATTCGAGTACAATTGCCGCATTTCACCTCCTGCTGACAATCGTCCAGAACTTTCAAATTTTTACAGAAGCTGCCATTACCCTCCACTTTTTCACCATGGTAAAAAGAAAGGAAAAATGAATGTATGAATAAATATTCATGATTAATGTTGTAGTGCAAAATCTCACATTTCGTGCATAGTTTTGATTAGAATACAACACATCCAGTTGAGTGGTTGCAAACAGTCTAGCCGCAAAAGTTCAGATATTTCAAATACCAAAGCTTAAATTGGATTTTAAAATTTCACATACACGTATTCCACGCATCTCATGTACTACTCTCCATTGGGCATGAATGACTTCCAATCGGTCTGAAACTGTTTGTCAGAGACAGTAAAAAGGCGGCTTCATATTCAAAAACAATTAGACAGAATGCAATAGAAAGGAATGTGTGTTTTTAAAACTTAATGCATAAAAACTTAACACTCATGGCAAAGGGTTAAAAAACAGCATGTGAGGACTGTAATGGCAGTAAGTTAAAGGTGATGAATTACAAAAAAAATTAAACTGGCTAACGACTTATTCACAGCTTATTGCAAGCACCAAATAAAGACGTGCAAATTAAAAACAACAAAAAAACTACACGACTAGTTGACATCTTTAGATATACCAAATCAATGGTTATAACGGGTCATTCAGTTTGTTAACCATATAAATAAGGAAAAACAAGTGTAGCCATTTGGGGAAACAAACAAACAAACAAACAAAAAACAAGCCAGTTGTTGATGAAAAAGTAGTTTCTCCATTTTTAAGCTTAGTAAGACAAAAATTGTCAACCATGCAGTAACACACTGAGTTTGTCTTTGTACCTTCTTCTCATTAGTATAGTCAGACACATAGAGTGTGTGTCCATGCTCATCCATTTCCTCAGGCCAGCCTCTAGGGGGCGAACCATACTGGCTGTCTGATTGGCTGCTCAGACAGTTTTCCTCTGATGACAGAACCTTCACCCAGCCAATCACACAAAAGCAAGACGAGTAGAAAGAAATATAGAAAGAAACAAAGTAAAAGAGTTTATTCAGAGAGGCAGACAAGGAAAAGAGAGAGACAAGAAATAAATCACCAGTCACAATTAACCCTTCACCCACCAGGGAAAATCAATTACCCAGAATGCTTTTCATGCATAGAAATATTCAGCTTAGGTTGAGAAAGAAAGCGCTATATAAATGCATGATTCATTCATTCATTCAAAAAGCTATCCAGTCATGCATTTCCCAAGACCACAATGGACATTTTGTCCCTTATGAAGTTGTTCTTCCCCTTTGTAAGCCACATATAAACGTAATAATACATGCGTGTGTGTTTGTGCGTGCAAGCATCACCGTCTGTTGTGTTGAGTCTAATCTTGAGGTTGTTGTGTGTGTACCTCAGTGTCAGTCATGTCTTGTTTTTCCTCTTTCCTGGTGAGGCTGTCCCGTGGCCTTGGGGGTTTCCAGGTCCTCTCCTGCGTGCTGCGGTTGTAGTAGAAGTGTCTGCCATTCTGGTCTTTGTGAGTCTCCCAGTCGCCATTGGTGTGGAACGGAGAGGAGGATGGCAGTGGAGGGATGGAGGACTGAAAGATCTTCAACTCCTGCAGGTTTATGTAGACAGGAGAGTCAGGCCTGCCCTGCCCTGAACCTAAAGTCTGCATTAGAAGAGAGAGACAACCGTTGTTAGAAATGGTTGTTTGAGAGAACAAATAATCATACTGTAATCTGGCAAAGGTTGCGGTTAAATACAAAGTTGCAAGTACTATGTAAATCTTAATTTTACAATCACAGAGTAATTTTAAAGGGGTCCTATTATGCTCTTTTACAATGTCTTGAATTTGTTTTGGGGGTGTACTAGAACATGCTCTCATGCTTGGTGGTTCGAAAAATGCATTATTTTTTACATAATTGACATTATTACAATACCTTTCTCCCCAGTCTGGCACAAACGGCTCGATTAGTTCCGGGTTCGATGAACGCCCGCCTTCCGAAAAACGAAATGTGATGTGATTGGCGAACAGCTTAGACCAGTGATCCTCAAATCTGGCTCGCGAGATCCACTTTCCTGCAGAGTTTAGCTCTACACTAATCAAACACACCTGAGTTTGCTAACCAATGTCTTCAGGATCATTAGAAAATCACAGGTAGGTTTGTTTGATTATAGGGTTGGAGGCTTGGAGCTAAACTCTGCAGGAAAGTGGATCTCGTGAGCCAGATTTGAGGATCACTGGCTTAGACGGTGTTTCAGTACTGCCCCGCCCCTTGCCAAAGCAGCAAGTTTAGTTAAGGATGGCGTCAATATTGCCATATCAATCTGAGCTAGATTCAGACCCAGAGAATATTGAACAAGAGGATCGCGCAGAACCTTTGCACGCACGGATATTGCAAGACATATTAGAGTGGTAACGTTAGTTTTTTTTATATACACACACATATATATATATACACATACATACACACACACACACACACACACACACACACACACACACACACACACACACACAACAGTTCGCTCTCGCTCTCACATCTGTGTTGGTGAGAAACGA